ACACTACCTAGGTAATAACACTACACTGAATTGTTTTACATGGAAACTGTAAGGTGAACAATTCAGTGTAGTGTTATTATCTAGGTAGAGTATTGTATTAAACTGTAAAGTGAACATGTAAAATCACTACCTAGGTAATAACACTACACTGAATTGTTTTACATGTTCACCTTACAGTTTGATACGTATTAAACTGTAAGGTAAACATGTAAAACAATTCAGTGTAGTGTTATTATCTAGGTAGTGTATATTAAACTGTAAGGTAAACATGTAAAACAATTCAGTGTAGTGTTATTACCTAGGTAGAGTATTAAACTGTAAGGTGAACAATTCAGTGTAGTGTTATTATCTAGGTAGAGTATTTGTGTATTAAACTGTAAAGTGAACATGTAAAACAATTCAGTGTAGTGTTATTATCTATTTAGTGTGTATTAAACTGTAAAGTGAACATGTAAAACAATTCAGTGTAGTGTTATTATCTAGACAGTGAGTTTTGAGTTGTAACAAGATGTGTTATTTACAGTGCTATTGCTAATAAATAAATTCATGTAAATTCTTTTCATACAGAGATTAACACCAATATTTTGAATGCACAATACAGTTTCTAGCTATTAATCAAATTTCTTTCCATTTAGATGTTGAGATTCAAATAAAAGTAATATTTATTGTTTTATAATGTGCTATTGAAACTTAATAAGTGAACACAAAATAAATTTACTAATATCACACTGGTTGCTGTGTTACTTAGTTACCTACGAATTACAAAGCTAATTCATTAAATGTTCTCACTTATGTCATAAGAAGTATTTCATGATAACGACATATCTACTGTCATGTTACAAAAACTCGATAGAACAGACATTAAACATGTTTTGCTTCTACTCAACAGTTACCAAAACAACTCACAAGTATCTACATTAGCTTGTACGTATTGGGATACACGCAGATTCATAAAAACTCGGCACTTACCTGGTACATAAGGCCACCTGTGAAGACAGTCAAACTTGTTTTCTATCCTAGCTGTGTTCTCACTGTCCATAGCATGATGACCTGCTTCTAAGGCTAGTAAACACACTGCACAGCCATCAAGTATCTGGAGTGTATTGCACATGGCTGTTTGACTTTCCATGCCGAACTGCCGAGCAGTAAATAGCCATGAGGAGGAAGGCTGAAGAACAGAGCACTGGGATTGTACAAGGTCTAAAACATCTTGAGGCACCTTCTCGAGCAACTGCTCTGGACTTATACTGCTACCTCCAACGATCTCCGCTTGTTTTACTGCTGTTTTCAGTCGTTGGTGATGTCGATTAATGGGTTCTTTTTGATAACCTGTTATTTCTACCTCGTCTTCATAAAAAAGTCCAGAATTGTAACCCAAATGTCTATTTATTACGGCACTAAAACCACAAGTACACTTATACTGGGGTTCATCATTTTTCTGAGGTACCATTGAGTCAAAGAGGTAAAGGCCCATGTCTGTGCCCTTAATGTTCATATTACACACGCATACAGTACAACTAGAGAAATTGTGGTCTTTATAAAAGTTAAGCATTGAATCAGAGAGAGCAAGATTTACAACTAAACTGTTTGCTTCAGGCATTGCAGAAGTGCTATTATCGATTGAGCCTAGATGTTTGTTTAAGTATGATGACGAATTAGAAGCAGGTGACTGTAGTTCGTAACTCAATGGAAATGACCTTTGTTCAGAAAGTACCATGAAGGGTTCAGAAGGTGGAAGCAATGATTGATGATAGCTATATTGCAAAAAACAAACAAATATTTTTGTCACTGATGAAAAATAAACACTGGATTGTAAGCTCATTCCTTACAACTTAACAATTATTATTTTCATTTATCCTATTTAATTATACCTCTGATAACTTTACGTCTTTTATTTACACAACCATTAATAGTTCAAAATGCAGCGACATGCCAGTAAGCTTAACAAGTTTCAGTTCTTCACATTACAAGTTTTATCTTGATGGATAACAAGATATATGAAAATGATAAGTTCCTTTTTAAAATTGTGATATCTTACTTCTAAATAAATAACATGTAAAATTCTAAAGACACTCATCATTTGCTGCATTATGAAAAACAAAATTATTAAAATTTCTAATTAACATTTTTTTTCTATGTAGTAATATTAAGGTTTCAAACAATTTCTAGAAAATCTGACATTGCTAATGATGGCAAATGGTAATCTTAAAGCTTCAAACAATTTCTAGAAAATCTGACATTGCTAATGATGGCAAATGGTAATCTGAAAGCTTCAAACAATTTCTAGAAAATCTGACATTGCTAATGATGGCAAATGGTAATCTTAAAGCTTCAAACAATTTCTAGAAAATCTGACATTGTTAATGATGACAAATGGTAATCTTAAAGCTTCAAACAATTTCTAGAAAATCTGACATTGCTAATGATGGTAAATGGTAATCTTAAAGCTTCAAAC